ATTGTCACTGTCATTGAAGAAACAAAGGATTTGGAGGCTATGACGATGGAGTAACTTCTTGGGTCGTTACAAGCTTATGAAGAAAAAAAGAAGAAGAAGGAAGATATTGCAGAACAAGTACTCAAGATGCGGATTGATCAAACTAAAGAAGAAAGCGGACGAAGTTATCAAAGACGAGGTGGCGGTCAAGTCCGAGGACGAGGTCGTGGATATAGAAATGGACGAGGTTAGAGGCCTCATGATGACAACACCAACCAAAGAGGAGAAAGCTCATCAAAGAGGTCGTGGAAGAGGAAATCAAAAACCAATGTACGATAAGTCAAGCGTTAAATGCTATAATTGTGGAAAGTTTGGACACTATGCTTCCGAATGCAAAGCTCCGAACAATAATAGAGTTGAAGAGAAGTCCAATTATGTTGAAGAAAGAAGCCAAGAGGATGATATGCTATTGATGGCTTACAAGAAAGATGAACAAGATGAGGTTCACAAGTGGTATCTCGATAGCGGTGCAAGCAATCACATGTGCGGGAAAAGAAGCATGTTCGTGGAGCTTGATGAATCGGTGAAAGGAAATGTGGCTTTGGGAGATGAATCGAAGATGGAGGTGAAAGGTAAAGGAAATATTCTCATCCGATTGAAGAATGGAGATCATCAATTTATTTCCAACGTTTACTATATCCCAAGCATGAAGACCAATATATTGAGCCTTGGACAACTCTTAGAGAAAGGTTATGATATTCGATTAAAGGATAATAACCTTTCTATAAGAGACCAAGAAAACAATCTCATTACCAAGGTGCCGATGTCAAAGAATAGAATGTTTGTTCTTAACATTCAAAATGACATCGCACAATGTCTCAAGATGTACTACAAGGAGGAGTCCTGGCTTTGGCATCTTCGATTTGGGCATCTCAACTTTGGAGGATTAGAGCTACTTTCTAAAAAGGAGATGGTGAGAGGATTGCCTTGCATCAACCATCCAAATCAAGTGTGTGAAGGGTGTCTACTTGGAAAGCAATTCAAAATGAGCTTTCCAAAGGAGTCAGACACAAGAGCGCGGAATCCATTGGAACTCATACATACAGATGTATGTGGCCCGATCAAACCAAGATCACTCGGTAAAAGTAACTAATTTCTTCTCTTTATTGATGATTTTTCAAGAAAAACATGAGTTTACTTTTTGAAGGAAAAATCAGAAGTGTTTGAAAACTTCAAAAAGTTCAAAGCCCATGTCGAGAAGGAAAGTGGCCTTGTGATCAAAGCCATGAGATCCGACCGTGGAGGAGAATTCACATCCAAGGAATTTGAGAAGTATTGTGAAGATAACGGTATTCGAAAACAATTGACGGTGCCGAGGTCCCCTCAACAAAATGGAGTTGCGGAAAGAAAGAACCGGACAATCCTTGAAATGGCGAGGAGCATGCTCAAAAGTAAGAAACTACCAAAAGAGTTGTGGGCAGAAGCAGTTGCATGCGCGGTTTATCTATCAAATCGATCTCCAACAAGAAGTGTTTCGGGAAAAACACCACAAGAAGCTTGGAGCGGAAGGAAGCCCGGTGTTTCTCATCTAAGAGTCTTTGGAAGCCTTGCTCACGCTCATGTACCGGACGAGAAGCGGAGCAAACTAGATGACAAAAGTGAGAAGTACATCTTCATTGGTTACGATGCCAACTCCAAAGGCTACAAGCTCTACAATCCTGATACAAAGAAGACAATCATCAGTCGAAATGTCATCTTTGATGAAGAAGGAGAATGGGATTGGAGATCAAATGATGAAGACTACAACTTCTTTCCACATGTTGAAGAAGATGAATTGGAGCAACCAAGAGAGGAGCCTGTTACCCCCACCAACTTCACCAACAACAAGTTCTCAAGAAGATGAAAGTTCAAACGAAAGGACTCCACGTTTCAGAAGTCTGCAAGAACTTTATGAGGTAACTAAAAATCAAGACAATCTTACTTTATTTTGTCTATTTGTGGATTGCGAGCCCATGAATTTCGAAGAAGATATGAAGAAGAAGACATGGAGAAATGCAATGGATGAAGAGATCAAGGCGATACAAAAGAATGAGACATGGGAGTTAGCTTCACTTCCAAATGGGCATAAGGCGATCAGTGTGAAGTGGGTGTACAAAGCAAAGAAGAACTCTAAAGGAGAAGTTGAAAGATACAAGGCAAGATTGGTGGCAAAAGGTTATAGTCAAAGAGCGGGAATCGACTATGACGAGGTATTCGCTCCTGTTGCTCGTCTAGAAACTGTTAGATTAATCATTTCATTGGCAGCTCAAAACAATTGGAGGATACATCAAATGGATGTCAAATCAGCCTTTTTAAATGGAGATCTTGAAGAAGAAGTTTACATTGAGCAACTACAAGGCTACATAATCAAGGGAGAAGAAGACAAAGTCTTAAGGTTAAAGAAGACGGTTTATGGGTTAAAACAAGCACCAAGAGCTTGGAATACTCGAATTGATAAGTACTTCAAGGAGAAAAGTTTCATCAAGTGTCCATATGAGCATGCACTCTATATCAAAACTCAAAACAATGATATATTGATTGGATGCTTGTATGTAGATGACTTGATATTCACAGGCAACAATCCAAGTATGTTCGAGGAATTCAAGATGGAGATGACGAAGGAGTTCGAGATGACCGATATTGGATTGATGTCTTACTACCTTAGAATTGAAGTGAGACAAGAAGATAATGGAATTTTCATTACTCAAGAAGGCTATGCTAAAGAGGTTCTTAAGAAGTTCAAGATGGATGACTCGAATCCAGTAAGCACGCCAATGGAATGTGGAGCCAAATTATCAAAGCAAGAAGAAGGAGAGAGTGTAGATCAAACACTATTTAAGAGCTTGGTTGGAAGCCTACGCTACTTAACGTGCACAAGACCTGATATCCTATATGCAGTCGGAGTTGTGAGCCGATACATGGAGCATGCAACAACAACTCATTTCAAGGCAGCTAAAAGGATACTTCGCTATATCAAAGGTACCATAAACTTTGGCTTGTATTACTCTGTTTCTGACGATTACAAGCTTGTTGGATTTAGCGATAGCGACTGGGGGGGAGACGTAGATGACCGAAAAAGCACAAGCGGATTTGTGTTCTTCATTGGAGATACAGCTTTCACATGGATGTCAAAGAAGCAACCAATTGTCACCCTTTCTACTTGTGAAGCGGAGTATGTAGCGGCTACTTCATGTGTTTGCCATGCTGTTTGGTTACGGAACCTGTTAAAGGAGTTGAGTTTGCCACAAAAGGAGCCAACGAAGATCTTAGTGGATAATAAGTCAGCAATAGCTTTGGCGAAGAACCCAGTCTTCCATGATCGAAGTAATCACATTGACACTCGTTATCACTACATTAGAGAGTGTGTTACCAAGAGGGACGTTCAATTAGAGTATGTGAAGACGAATGATCAAGTAGCTGATATCTTCACCAAGCCTCTCAAGCGCGAAGATTTTATCAAGATGAGGAGTTTGCTTGGAGTAGCAAAATCAAGTTTAAGAGGGGGTGTTGAAAAGTAAACTTGATTTTGGATCAAGTTTAATTATTGGATCAATGATCCAATTATCACTTGTTGGGCCAAAACCCAATACTTGAGTTTTCTCTAGAAATATCTAAACATCTCCACCTCCTTAAAATGTTCTAGAAAATTATAGAGAATGAATATCTAGATATTTCTCTAGATAATTGTAATATAAAATTCTAGATATTATACTAGAACTCTTCAGATTTAGGATTAAAATATTCTAGATATTTTATACTTTGGAGGCTATAAATACCTCCCATTCCCTCTCATTTGTAATCAAGAAGTTCCAAGTTGTTCTAAGGTGTTCAAAAGAAATAAAAATATTCTTCTTCCTAAATTTTCTATTGTCTCCCGAATTCTTAAACACTTTCTCCATTACCTCCAAATATTTCTTCCTAACACATATATGCATGAAACATTAAATCAAGAAAGTTGGCCTAGTATAATTCTCCCACAAACGGGAGAAGAAATACCATAACAAAAATAAATTATACTCTAAGCTTCTAGTTTATACTAGGCGATGGACCAGAAAAGGTGACAAAGACTCATCTATCATACAAGCACCGATTTAGTCAGAACTTTGGAACTTTATCTCCTAGCGATCATTATGTACCTAATCTTTCTGATTTTAATATTCCTATAACTATTAGGAAAGGGTCTAGAACATGTACCCAACGTCCCATTACTAAATACCTATCTTCCAAAAAATTATCAAAATCATAAAGCTTATATCTCTAGGATATCCAACCAATTTGTACCTAGAAACATTAAGGAGGCCCTAGATGATCCGAATTGGAAGTTAAGCGTTACAAAAGAGATGAATGCTCCTAACAAAAATGGTACTTGGGAGATAGTAGATCTGCCACATGATAAGAAGGGTGTAAGATGTAAATGAGTATTTACCATTAAATGCAATGCTGATGGTAATGTCGAGAGGTATAAGGCAAGATCTGTAGCTAAGGGTTTCACATAAACCTATGGAATTGATTATCAGGACGTACACATTTGTTCCATTAGCAAAAATAAACTCAATTCGAGTCTTTCTATCTGTAGCCATGAACTTCGAGTAGCCATTACATCAATTGAATGCGAAAAATGTCTTTCTAAATGTATATTTTGAGGAAGAAGTTTTTATGAGTTTATCACCTGGTTTTGAAGAAAATCTTGAAGTAACAAAAGTTTGTAGGCTAAGGACATCTTTGTATGGCCTTAAATAGTCTCCTATAGCTTGGTTTGGATGTTTTTGAAAAATGGTCAAAAGTCTTGGTTATAGTCGAAGTCAAGCAGATCATACCATGTTTTACAAACACTCTACTAATGGCAAAATAGCTATACTGATTTTTTATGTGGATAATAGTATTCTAACAGGTGATAACAATGCGAAGCTTGAGAATCTGAAGAGGAGCATGCTAAGGTTTATGAAATCAAGGACCTAGGCCCTTTAAGGTATTTCCTTGGGATGGAGTTTGCTAGATCAAAAGAGGGAAACCAATATAAATATGTCCTTGATTTCCTTAGTGAAACAGGTTTACTTGGATGCAAGGCAACCGAAATACCAATCAAGCCCTACATAAAGCTCCAACCTGCGAAGCCTAAAGAAGTAAAAACAAGAAGCAATGTTAAAGACTTGTTGGAAAAATAATCGATTTGTCTCACACTCGTCCAGATATATCCTTTGCAGTGTGAGTCAGTACATGCATTCACCTAGACAAGAGCATTTTGAGGCTATATACAGAATTATGAGATATCCAAAAGGGACTCCTGGAAGAGGACTATTGTACAAGAAATGGGGAGATCGATCTACAAGTTGAAAGTTACCCTAATAGTGACTAGGTAGGAGATACTATAGACCAAAGATTAACTTCTGGTTATTGTACATTTATTGGAGGGACCTTAGTGGCTTGGCGAAGCAAAAAATAAAGTGTGGTTGCTAGAAGCAGTGCACAAGGAGCTTAGATCAGTTGCATATGGAATATGTGAAGTGCTATGGATTAAGAGATTATTGGAAGGATTGGAGATTTCAAATTCCTCACCAACGAAGGTCTGTTTTGACAACAAGCAGCAATTTCAATTGCTCACAATCTAGTTCCTCATGATAGAACAAACATGTGGAGGTGGATAAATACTTCATCAAAGAAAAGATTGAGAAGGGATTAATTCGTATGTCATATGTTCCTATTACAGAGTGGATTGCAGATATACTCACTAAAGGATTACCAAAGAAGCAGTTTGACAATTTGATTGGAAAGCTGGCAATGGAAGATATCTACAAACCAACTAGAGGTGGAGTGTTGATAATGTCAAAGATATGATTTAATTTAGTTTCCTTATTTAGTTTCCTAATTTCTATCAGTAATTAGGAGCTGATTGAAAACTGATTTAGTCAATGATCAAACGAAGGAAAGTAAGAAAATTAGGCTATACTTAGTTAGAATTTTCTTATTTCTAAGTATAGTTATTCCTATATGATTGTTGTACAATCATAAGGAAATAGACAGAAAAGATACATTCTCTTTACCCATTTTTGCACAATCAAATGAAAGGCCACAACTTCACTAGAGGCAAGGTAAAATTTTGTATCCCTTTCCTTATCAAGGCATCATTCTGTATTCATAGGACATGGACAAGAAAATAATATGTGAACTCATTCATCTCGATTTTATCTACTTTCATGCAGCTCTTATGCTTATCTTATGTTTTCTAAATACACGAGTATGTGTTTTTTATTAGGGTTTTATTAACAACTATCCCTAGGGTTCTTTTTAAGAGTCATTAATTAGCCTCTCAATTACTTTAATATTCTTTGTATTACAAGGAAATCATGAATAAAATAGATGAACTTAATGATTTGAACTTATTCTGTATGGACTAAATTGCTCATGCTCTTGATTACTTTACTATTATTGGTACTAGAAAGAAATCATGAATAAAATACACAATCTATTTAATGCTTCGAAGGTATTATATATATGGACAAAATTGTTCACACTCTTAAACTTATAATTAATAAATTATATTCATCTATTTATAATATAAAAAACATGATGGGGGTAGACAAATATGAAGAAATGGGTGAAATTTCCCCATGTTATAATTTTAATAAGAGGGGATTCTTTTCTTTCCTTAGGATAGAATGGTAAATTTGAATGAATAGACATTTTGTTCATTTCTTCTCCCTCTTTCAATGCTCTCTCTCTCTCTCTCTCTCTCTCTCTCTCTCTCTCTCTCTTCTGCTCTCTCTCTCTCTCTCTCTCTCTCTCTCTCTCTCTCTCTCTCTCTCTCTCTCACACACACACACATAAAATAAATAAATAAAAACTAGAAATCCTTTTACAACCAAAACTAAAAATAATTGAATGCTAAAACCAAATTACAAATAGGTCCTTTAATATTAGAGGTTTTAAAAATAAACAATGATGGATTTGAAACACTAAATGCTTCTATGTAAAAATTATAATGGTGGATGTTGGACTTCTTGTTTTGATGATGATTTAATAAATAATTTATGACTAATATTGGTTTTAGTATTTGTTTTGTGTTGTTTAGTATACACAGGAAAATGAGCTACATTGATATTAAAGCCTATGCAAATCAAGTCAACAAATGAAGTTCAAGCTTCATATGATTCATTCTTGGTATACTTAGTATAGGTTTATATAATGTGTGCAAATTCTACAAGCTCAAATTTACACACACATTCATTTGTGAATTTTCTCAAATATAGGTGTTTTTATGCAAAATATATTTTAATATGATTTGGACTACACTTTCTCAAATATAGGTGTTTTTATGCAAAATATATTTTAATATGATTTGGACTACACAAACGTTGTTAAAATCTTTTATTAAGTCCATAAAAATATCACACAGGTTTTCAGAACTTGATTTGAGCTAAATGTCAAAATCAACATGTTTGAAACACATGTATTTTTAGTGCTTTTGAATTTTTCTGAGATTTCACAAATGGTGAGAGCAAATTGAAAATTTCATTTTTCAACACGTTTATAATCATGTTTATAAACTTTTCCCAAAATTTTACATTTTTTAGAATTTATTTAATATTTTTAAAAGGACTTTAAAATTTATTTTCAAAATTCCATACATGCTAAAAACTGGTTATCAGTCGACTGGTTAGTCGACTGATGAAACTGCCTACAATTATCAAAAATGTCTGTTTTAATACCGGTCGACTGACCAGTCAACTAATGATGTCACCAGTCGATTGATCGTGCCAATCAGTCGACTGATGAGCTGTCAGTTGCATATAACGGTCAACTCATCAGTCGACTGATACGAGCTGTCAGTCGACCAATATGCGCCGGCAGCTATATTTTCTAGCTTTTGTTAATTTGTCTTTTTTTACTAGATTTTCTTGGGTTTTGAGCCTTGGTTTTTATCCTATATAAACCCCCTATTGTTTCACTTCTGATATCTATCTAAGAGGGTTTTAAAAAAGAGTTTAAAGACTTTTAAAGTTTAAGTTTCTTGAGTTTGTGTTTACAAAGAGGAAGCTTACATTTTCAATTGAGGAATTCATCCTCAATCTTCTTCATCCTCTATTGTGTTTATAGAGAAGTTTTTCTAACTTTTTTCTCTAGCAATTAATTACTGATTTTTATATTTATATCATTGCTAGTTTGCTAATTGAGTTAGATTTCATTTATACTCATTTTATCACACACACCCTATTTGAGCTTTTAGTATTTCATACATTATATATTAGATTGTAAGATTATGATATTGTGAGAGTGAGCTTATACTGTGTTCTCATCTATTGTAGAGAACAAAATCTTATATTTTGAGCTTTATTATGAGTTACACGTTGTATTATACTTATACACCGAGAGGAGTGTGTAGTGAGAGACGGGGTCGGTTTTAAGAGGAGTGGGGTCGATAGTAAAGCCTAGTGAGAGGTTGTAATTCGGAACACTTGAGGAAGGTGATACGGGCTAGGCCAACACTTAGAGGGTGTAGAGTGTGATTGCAAGTGTGTAAGTTGTAAAGTTTTTGGTGAACTAGAAAACCGAGTTATGTGGTGTAAAAGTTATTCGGTTGAGTGTATAAAGCCCGGTTGTGATAGTGGAGATCTGCTCGAGGTGAGGAACGGAGACATAGGTCAAGTGGTTGACCGAACTCCGTGAACATATCGTGTGTTTGTGATTGTTTTTGTGCAATATCACACTTGTTTAGTTATTGTTTGTTCATATATCATTGCCTTAATCTATTGTATATCAATATTGTTATGATATATTTGTTAGTAAGTTTTAATCGGTACTAATATCTAATAAGATTAGCATAAACCCTATTCACCCCCCCTCTAGGGTGCTTTCAATTGGTATCAGAGCTTGGTGCTCTTGATTTAAGGTTTAATCACCTTGAGTTAACGGTTCAAACTTTAATATTGTTGCTAATCTTGTTTTGATATTATATATTTAGCTTGCTCATATATTATGGATATGTTCGGCGTAGGCTATGATATAAATGTTGCTCCTAAATGTAGAAACTTCCCTTATGAACAATGGTGCTTTAGATTCAAAATTTTTGTTGAGTCTAGAAATATCAATTTATGGGAAGTATTGACAATGCTTATATTATGCCCACTTTGGAGAAATCCAATTGGAGCAATCATGATAAAAAAATATTTACAATGAACAAGTTGGTGTTAGCATTTTTGCATAATGCTTTTGAACCATGTATTTATAACGAACTTGCTCATTTTGATAGTATTTATACAATATAAAAACTTTTTGAAGCACATCAAGGGGACTTGAAAGACATCCGACAATCTTTGGCGGCTCCCTCTTCAAGATCACATGGAGCCTCAACATGCACACGTGCACTAGGCGATAGCCCTAGTGAGGTATGCGAGTCCGATAACGATGATGATCTTACTATTGATGAACTCATGGTTATGAATTATTGATGCATGATTATAAAAAATTACAACGTAGCTTTATTGACTTAAAAAGCAAGCATGTCGAATTGAAATCCTCTCATGAAACACTAGCCACTAAGTTTGATATCATTGCAAATGAAAATGTTAATCTTAAAAAATATAATGAAAAATTAAAATTGGAAAATACTAGTTTGTTTCATGAAAAATGTAATGCTATATTAGAAGTTGAGAATATTAGAAAAGAGCTTAATTCTTTCAAAATTGATAGTGTATGTTCTACTTCTAATAACAATGCTTGTGTGGAAAACATTAGGTTGAATCATGTTAAAAGTAGAATATCCACTTTAGATTCAACATTAAAATCTTGCATTGTTAATAACAACAAGCTTATGGACTTATGTGCAAAGTCCCATGAAAATTCTTCCAAGAAAACTACACACTATGCACATATGTATAAAAAAATTTGTAAGTTTTCAATTTACGGTCGTAAAGGTCATATTGCTAAATTTTGTTATAATGCACAAAAGGCTAACAAGCCTAATCATGTTTGTGCATTCAATCAAGCTTCTTCTTCACATACACATGTACACACACATAATGAACATCACAAACATGTCCATGTGTATAAGTGTGAATTTTGTGGTCGTTTTGGTCATTTGACCAAGTTTTGTTTCGATTTGAGAAGAACTTCCCGTTTGCAAAACAACTTTAAAGAAAAATCTATTTTTGCAAATGAGTCACGTACACAATATTTTGGTCAACGCAAATCATTTTAACCTTTACATTGTACATATTGTAATCGTAAAGGTCATGTATACAATTTTTGTTTTGACCATATCGGTACACAAAATACGCCCAAAAGGGATCATAACCCTAGGGCTTTAAGCTTTATTGATAGGGGTCATATCCCTAGATTCTTCGGTGCCAAGAGTAATTAGGTACTAAAACAAGTTTGATTCTTTAAGAACAAATTTTTTAATTTTTAAAATTTTTCTTAAAGATGATTTTTATTTGAGATTTTTGCAAACAATTTTAAAATCTTTAAAAGAAAAGTATTTTAAAATATATATACGTTTTATATTGTTAATTCAAAATAATTTTTGGAACTTCAAAACCATAGTTCATGTTTCTCATGTGTTTTATAGTCTTGGTTTGAACTATGTTGTTTTTGATTCATTTTTGATGTGTACGATGTGTTTGTGCCTTATGAGATCATTGTAAAATACTCTTTTGGTGATATTTATGTATTTGTGCTTACGGATCATCAATTAGTGCTTTATAATGTATTCTTTATGTGGTTTGATCAAATTTGTCCAAGAAAGATTTCCTTTTGCTGATCAAACGTCTTTTTATTTATTTATCATACTTTGTTTTGAGTTTATATATGAGAGGTTTATTTTTTTAGCAACCCCCCGG